AAAGTATATATTAAATTATTAATCAATAGTTGAAATGATTATATTGGAAAATCTATGCACAGTTTTAAAGCGTGTGTAATCTTTTAATCATATTAATTAATCCTTATTAGGATTTAGTTGTCTAGTTTGATTTGTTTTCATTGTGTTTAGAGTGGTCAAAATATTCGTTTGAATAACAATAAGTCAAAAAATGATATACTACTAGCTTTTTTACCATGTAATATTATAATATGTAGTCAAATGTGAAAGTTAGAGATTTTAAACTTAAGTCGTAAAAACATTAAATTGTGAATTCGTAGTATATGAACTCCTTTGAAAAATACCATGTAATATTATACTATGAAGTCAAATTTGGAAGTTAGAGATTTTAAACTTAAATCGTAAAAACATTAAATTGTGAATTTGTAGTACATGAACTCCTTTGAAAGTACCATGTAATATTATACTATGAAGTCAAATGACGAAGTTAGAGGTTTTAAACTTAAGTCATAAAAAACATTAAATTGTGAATTTGACTAGTAAATGAACTCCTTTTGAAAATCTAAATATAAATTTTACTAGTAACCTACCGTAATAAATATCATTTTTATTGAAGTTTGACCCGTTGAGCCAAGATTAATGTAACGTCTCTAACAAAAAGAAATATCAATGTGAAACGAGGGGGTTTGACTAGTAAATGAACTCCTTTTGAAAATCTAAACATAAATTTTACTAGTAACCTATCTGTAATAAATATCATTTTTATTGAAGTTTGACCAGTTGAGTCAAAATCAATGTAACGTCTCTAACAAAAAGAAATACCAATGTGAAACGAGGGTGAGTCAAACATGAATAATTTTACTAATAACCTACCGTAATAAATATTATTTTTATTGAAGTTTGACCCGTTGAGTCAAGATTAATGTAACTTCTCTAACAAAAGAAATACCAATGTGAAACGAGGGTGAGTCAAACATCAATAACAGATTTCTAGATTGTCAAGTTTTTTTAACATAAAACAAATTTTGTAATTAGATTGCTATCATTAAATTGAATATATATGTATAATTTGCATTTTGACCACATTTTTATTTTATAATTGAATTGGAGAAAAATAATAAACTATATATTTGACATGATAAATGGATTATTGTAAACTTCAAGGTAAGGTAAATATCGGTGTGTTCCCTATTTTTATAGGATTTAAGTAAATATGTATTAGCTTTGTTGTCAATAAAATAACAAAATTCATTATTTTACACTTTAAATAGATAATCCATTCTATAATTATTGTAAAATTGAATAATTACAATTTATTTTCACTCAATAAAAATAATGACTTATAATATACTAGATACTACCTATATTACTTTAAATTGTTCAAGACCAAATTAACAACAAATAAAATTTTATTATAATTTTTTTTATTTGCATCAAATACGTTACTATGTATTTCACTTCTCATTAACAATAATAACTTAATAATTATTAAATAATATTTATTATTCAAATAAAATTTTAGAGGCAACTTTATAAATTGTCGGATACTTTGTATTACTTTACTATGTAACTGATAAAAAAACCAATAAACAAAAATTTATTACAAAAAATATTACATTTGCACTAAATACGGTGCTATATATGTATTTTCACTTCTCAATAACAATATTTTTTTTATGAAATACCAGATACTCCTATATATTACTTAAATATTTTTTAAAATTTACGTATTTTTATTTAATGTGTAACATATGTGGGATATAATGTTACAAAATTCAAAACAAGATTTATTTTTTCTTTTAGGGTTTCTCATCTTTTGTTGTAAAAAATTAAGGTTTTATCAAACGCCATGTACTTTTATTTATATTTTAAAAAAAGGAAATTGGCCATAAAAAATACGGTAAGAGATGAAGTTTCTCTTTTTTGAACCTAAATTTAAAGTTTAAGCTCTAAATAAGAAAATATTTTTAATAAGAGTATTTTTCTGATAAATGAGCTCTGCACGACAGATTGAATCAACTGATCAAAAACTTTCAGATACCAAATATTAAAGTAAATAGATATATAAATTGTGTTTCATATCTTTCGTCAAATTTGTACATTTCACCGCGTAAAATCAAAATTCAATAAAAAAAATGTCAATATATTCTGTTGGACGCTACCAACCTACGAGATTTTTACTTTTACGTAAACGACAGAATGTACTGAAAATGTAAAGAAAATATAAACCTACTTATTCACGCCTCACTTATCTTTTTCGACTACAAACACTAATTATCTCAGCCGCACTTTTCAGATCATCAGTCGCGATTACCTTTTCAACCCTATCCATGCAAATTACAAATATTTTCATTATCAACCAAACTAATAAAATTAAATATATAAAAAAAAAGATCAAAAACATTAAGGAAAAATTATAGCAAAAAGATAATCATTTGAATACGAATTTTCAAACGATATTCCAATGTATTTCAAGATCGATTCAAGAGAAAGATAAAATAAACCTAATACTATAATAATTTTCTTTGTATTTTACGTGTTTACATAAAGGAAATGGCTTTCTTTTTTTATTTTAAGTTTAGTGTAATTCATTTGATACTTTGTTCGCATTTTTTTCATAGAAAAAGTTTTTAAATTATTATTTTTAGACTATGATGTAATTATGCATGAATTTCCTGTTTGATATATGATACTAACTAGATAAATGGTTACTACCTAAATTAATTTATTCAAATTTCTCTACATCATTATTAGTCATTTAGATTCCTTTTAAGTTAATTTTAAAATTTTTCTGTGTAGAATATACATATATATATTTTTATATATCTTATGATCAACGTAATTAATTTTATCAACTAAATTATTTATGAGCGTATACGTTTGAAAAAAATATGTAGTTAAACATATTTTGCTTATATATAATTTATCTATTCAGTAAAACATAAATAATTAGTTCATGACATTATTAAATAATTAGATTCCTTTTAAATTATTTTACGTATATCACGTAAAAAATAGATATTTATTTCTCTATTTTACATTTAACATAATTAATTCTATCTACTGAATTACCTATAAGCATATACACTTGAACTAGCATCTAGTTAAACATATTTCTTATAAATAATCTACTCAATTACGAAAATAATTAGTTCATCTTATTCTTTAGTAATTTAAATCCCATTTAAGTTATTTTACATATATCACGTAAAAAATATTTATTTTACGTTCAACGTAATTAATTTTATCTACTGAATTATTTATGAGCATATACGCTTGAACTAACATCTACTTAAATATATTTTCCTATAATTTATCTACTCAGTCAAAAAAACAATAAGTTCATCTCATTATTCACTAATTAAAATCTCAAATAAGTTATTCGTAATTAATTTTATCAACTAAATTATTTATGAGCGTATACGTTTGAAAAAAATATGTAGTTAAACATATTTTGCTTATATATAATTTATCTATTCAGTAAAACATAAATAATTTAGTTCATGACATTATTAAATAATTAGATTCCTTTTAAATTATTTTACGTATATCACGTAAAAAATAGATATTTATTTCTCTATTTTACATTTAACATAATTAATTCTATCTACTGAATTACCTATAAGCATATACACTTGAACTAGCATCTAGTTAAACATATTTCTTATAAATAATCTACTCAATTACGAAAATAATTAGTTCATCTTATTCTTTAGTAATTTAAATCCCATTTAAGTTATTTTACATATATCACGTAAAAAATATTTATTTTACGTTCAACGTAATTAATTTTATCTACTGAATTATTTATGAGCATATACGCTTGAACTAACATCTACTTAAATATATTTTCCTATAATTTATCTACTCAGTCAAAAAAACAATAAGTTCATCTCATTATTCACTAATTAAAATCTCAAATAAGTTATTCGTAATTAATTTTATCAACTAAATTATTTATGAGCGTATACGTTTGAAAAAAATATGTAGTTAAACATATTTTGCTTATATATAATTTATCTATTCAGTAAAACATAAATAATTTAGTTCATGACATTATTAAATAATTAGATTCCTTTTAAATTATTTTACGTATATCACGTAAAAAATAGATATTTATTTCTCTATTTTACATTTAACATAATTAATTCTATCTACTGAATTACCTATAAGCATATACACTTGAACTAGCATCTAGTTAAACATATTTCTTATAAATAATCTACTCAATTACGAAAATAATTAGTTCATCTTATTCTTTAGTAATTTAAATCCCATTTAAGTTATTTTACATATATCACGTAAAAAATATTTATTTTACGTTCAACGTAATTAATTTTATCTACTGAATTATTTATGAGCATATACGCTTGAACTAACATCTACTTAAATATATTTTCCTATAATTTATCTACTCAGTCAAAAAAACAATAAGTTCATCTCATTATTCACTAATTAAAATCTCAAATAAGTTATTTTTACATATATCACGTAAACAATATATATTTATCTCTTTATTTTACGATCAATATAATTAATTATATATAAACCAAGTATCCACTTAAACCAAAAAATAATTAGTTAAAAAAAAAAAACTTTTTAAGAAGTATAAGTAAAGAAGAAAACCTCTAACTAAGCTGTAAAGTGGGACCCACAACTTCCTTATCCTCCCTTTCTTCCCACCTTTCTCTTTGTCTTTTTTGTATTTTTTTCTACAAATTTTTTATATATACATACAACAATTATACACATAATATCCAGCTGTTTATTGTATAATTATTTATTTTATTTATAATTCAAGAAAATCTATTTAAGCAAATGTAATAAAATGGAGTTTTTTTTAGAGAGAGAAATGAGAAGAAGAAGAGAGATAAAGTGTAGTATTCCTTCTAAAATTATGCCATAAAACCTTGCTTTGATTTTCAGAGAGAATCCAAAGGCTTGAAAAATCCCCCTCCCCCCATAGCTTTCTTCTCCTCTTCTTCTTCTTCCATTTTTTTCCCTTTTTTTAAAAATTTTTTTTTATAAAAAAACAAGTAACTGCCCCTTATACTAAGTACAAACAGAAAAACAGAAAGAACAAAAGAAAGAAAAAGACTATATAGATAGATAGGGAAAACCAAGAAAATTAAAGTGGTAGAGTTTTTTGTTATATATATAGAAGAAAAGAGTCTTCTTTTTTTCAGTTTCAGTTCAATTCCAATCAAGGGTTCTCTCTTCCTCCTTTTCATCTTATCCAATCTGTAAGTTTTTTTTCTTTCTTTTTAGTTGTTTGGAGTGGTTTTTTCTGTTTGGTAACAATGCAAGATTGGAGTTTTGGTGTTTGATTGATTGATGTTTGGTGAATTTGAGCAAAAGGGGGTTGTTTGATCTGAATTTTGGAGATCTGGGGGTTATAAAGTCTGAATCTTTAATGATTCTTGCATGTTTATTTGATTGAAAGATTTGATTTTTAGGGTGTTTTTTTTTAGTTTTTGGTTTTGGGGTTTTTGTTGTTTGATTGTTTTTACAGGATCTGTTGGATTGAATGTTGAATCTTTTTGTAAAGGAGTTGCTTGATCTGGATTATAGGTTTTTTTTTTACTTGAATCAATGAGGGATTATAGATGTTTGTGTTTTTTTTTTTTTTAACTTGAATCAATGAGGGGTTATAGATGTTTGTGATTTTTTTTGTTTACTGAAAAAATCCTGCATTTGTGTTTATCAGAATTGTTTTATACATTTGAGTGTCACTGGGGTTTGATTTGATTTTCTCTAATTAATGATCAAAACTGATGTTGAATGAGATATAGCTAGGGAAAAATTATGTTTCTGTGGTTTGGTGATTGAGAATTTGTTTTTCTGTGTGTTCTTTGTTTTTAACCTGGATTTATGAGTTTTGATGAATCTTTTTTTTTGGGGTTGTTGTTACTAATTTTGTTCCATGGATATCAGTTTTGTTAGGGCTGAGCACAGGGTTTAGGATCCAGATCACAGGACGGTTGCGGAATTGGTGTTTATTCTAGGGTTCAATCTGGAAGACATGTTGGAAGATCGTACGTGTTTGGTTCAAAGGGATTGTCGGACAGAAAGTAACTGGACGGGCTGCATGAGTTATCACATTGATAGGATTGATGCCCAGAATGGCAAAAGGCCATTGGAAAATGATGAGGAGGGTGAAAATGTGCAATGCAAGTTGCAGAAGCAGTCTGATGGTTCTGACCTAGAAGGAGTGGTTTTCTCCGTGGGCAATTCTTCAGCATCCGCTGATGAGCAAGCTGACAATCAGGGTCGTGCTGGGGAGAATTTTGATTCAGCATCCGCTGATGAGCAAGCTGACAATCAGGGTCATGCTGAGGATGATTCTGCTGCAGCACCCCCTGATGAGCAAGTTGGCAATCAGCATCAGGCTGGGGATAATGGTGATATCAGTACGCTTATTCCTGCCATTGGCCGGGATAACTCTGTAAGTTCTCTCATTCGGGCCTCAAGGTCAGATTATGGCACCGTAGCATCTTTGAATAGTGAATTTCGCTCATTAGTTAGGAGCGGTGAACTGTATAGGTTGCGGCGACAAATGGGTGTCGTTGAGCACTGGGTATATTTCTCGTGCCAGCTGCTCGAATGGGAGGTATTTGACCCTACTAGGCGCCGTTGGATGCATTTGCCGACCATGAATCCCAATGAATGCTTCGTGTTCTCCGACAAGGAATCTTTGGCGGTTGGTACGGAGCTTCTTGTTTTTGGAAAGGAGGTGTTGGCACATGTTATTTATCGGTACAGCTTACTGACAAATACATGGACATCCGGGATGCAGATGAATGCGCCTAGGTGCCTGTTCGGTTCTGCCAGCCGTGGAGAGATTGCCATTCTCGCTGGCGGCTGTGATTCACGAGGCAAAATCCTCAACTCAGCTGAGCTCTACAACTCGGAGCAAGGCACTTGGAGGACATTAGCAAGCATGAACCAGCCACGCAAGATGTGCTCGGGCGTATTCATGGATGGTAAATTTTACGTGATAGGGGGCGTTGGTGGAGCTGAATCGAAGCTGATGACATGTGCGGAGGAGTATGATCTGACAACAGGAAAATGGACGGAAATCCCAAACATGTCCCCTGTGCGACCTAACGCAACTAGGAATGATATCCCTGTTACATCTGAAGCACCTCCGTTGGTGGCAGTTGTAAATAACCAACTGTATGCTGCTGATTATGCTGCCATGGAGGTTAGGAAGTACGACAAGCAAAACAAGGTATGGGTTTCCATTGGACGGTTGCCTGAACGAGCTGCTTCCATGAATGGATGGGGTTTAGCTTTTCGGGCATGCGGCAATAGATTAATTGTAGTTGGAGGGCCTAGGGTTATGGGCGAAGGGTATATTGAGGTGAATTCGTGGGTGCCAAGTGAAGGGCCTCCAGAATGGACCTTGCTTGGCCGGAAGAGATCAGGTAGTTTTGTGTATAACTGCGCAGTTATGGGATGCTGAAGATTTGGCAGCACCATGTGTTGTGCTGTAGAGGGTGTTGGGTGCCGATCAATACATAATTGGTTTCTGGGGCAACAGGATTCTTGCTAATGGGTAATTTATCCCAACTTTTTTATGTTATAAAAAAACTTTCCTTTTTAACCTCTTTTCAGAATGGGGAAGCACAAACTGGGCTCAAGATTCAACAACATAGGAAGGTCTTGAGTACAATTTTCTTTTCCTTTTCAACTTCCATCAAATGTTCCTTCAATGGAACTGTCTTCTCCAGTAACATGATATCCCAAAGGTGGCCATCAAATAGTTTAAGGTTAGGTGAAAATAACGAGCAATACAGTTATAGTTTTCGATTAGTGTTTGCTAAAGCTTCTCTAGATAAGTCTTAGAACTTGGTCTTTTTGGGTTTTGCGATCTTTATTTTCTTGACTTTGTCGAGGAGAGAAATAAAGTTCTGCAAGGTTGTTCGTTGCCATCTTGGCTTGTGTATCAGTACATTTTATTTCCTGCAATTGGTGGTCCATAAACTTAGTTTACTTTCAAGACAGTTGGTAGCTTTGGAAATGAAAATACTTTGTTCCAACTCTCGTTTTCTTACATGTTATTTTAGAAAAAATTCTTTACTTTATTATGCCATATCTCATGATCAATTATTCTGCTTACTCATCTGTGAAAACTGAAAAATGGTGTATGTATCTGTTGTATGGATGATGTTTAGACATTATGTTATTTGCATTCGTGATGAATTAGAAGTTTATGGATCGTAACCCAGCTTTTATGAGATTGTAACCTTAGTCGATGCATGAGGTTTATCCGCTAGTTGTCCAGATTCATTCTTATGTGATCCAGTTCCATTGTTTCCTAGTTATGCATCCCTTGTCTCTTTCGGGTTTTTCCCTTTTTGTCGTTACCTGAATTCGCGCAACAATCCTGTTTTAGGTTATACAATTACTTAAGGGATGCAGTTTGAATATTACACGTACAATCATATAACCAGTTCTTACACAATTGCTTCTTTTGCTAGTAATAGCCACTCTTGTTCTTTATACAGTAGAGATGTGATTCATACCTTTCACTCCTCCCCCAGAAACACCTGTTTCTTGTAAGGTTTCACTTGCATAACAGTGCTTTATCATTGGGCCAGTAATGGTAGCCCCTCCTTTTGAGTTCGAGCTGTGGAAACAACCTCTTGCAGAAATGCACGGTAATGTTGTGTACAATAGACCTTTGTGGTCCGGCTCTTCCAGAGACACTCCGCACATAGCGGGAGCTTAGTGCACCGAGCTGCCCTTTCCCCCCTCCCCTTCTTTTTGTGCTACTCAGTCCTAGAGCAGGAAAAAGATTAGAAAACGTCAAGCATTCTTTTGCTTTCCAAACCTGTTTTTATTTAAAGACTGCCTTCTCTCGGCTGGATCTAGGTCCAGCCTACTACGAGGATCCCATATCCAGCAACCCAACCTATACAAAGTGCCAGCCTTATCTGAACTTATTTCTTGGTGGATTTGATGCATCTGTTATAGAAATTATCACAGGACGTATCAATTATGTTTATATCAAAGTCCTCAGAATCTTTGTTAATCATGCCACCACCAACAACATATCCCGTGACAAGCGGGGTCTGGGATGAGTGGTGTGTACCTATATAGACCTTACTCCTACCTTGTGAAGGTAGAGGTTGTTTCTGTTGTACCCTCGACGATCAGTACTAGTATAAAAGATGTTTGCTTGATCATTCTTCTGTCACTTTTAACGCCTTTTTGATACGTATCATTTTTTGCATCTCCTTATTTGTGTATATTCCAACTTTTCCTATTCTGTGTCAAATTAAGTTTAGTACCAATTGTAGGATATGTGTTTCTAAGTTGAGACTTGTTTTATGTCCTCTTTATGATGAATATGTCTAATCTGGGAAAACTCTGGTGAATTTGTTGTAAAGTATTTTAATGCACATGGGAAAATTGTAAAGTAGAAAGGAAGATACAAAATTGTACTGGACTAGTAATAAACATGAATGTGTCACATTTAGGTAACATTCAGTGAATGTATCGACGTTTCGTTAACGATATAGGTAAATTTGCAAGCATTATTAGTTATATGTATCTTTTATTTCTCATGTTGTGTTTGATACTCGCATTGAAGTCTTGATTAATTCAATTTCAATTATATGTAAGGTCCAATAAAGCGTTATTCCACGGGTACACTAGAAATTCGTATACCATCTACTTTGGTTTCACAACGATATATTGTAGATCCCAACACTTATTTTAACTTTAAATGTTGAGAAAATGGCCAAAAGCCTCCCCAACTTATAGCCGGATTCTCAACTACACACTCATATTTCACGGGGGTCCTATTACCCCCTGAATATTTCTTTTACACATTATCTACCCTTATTTGCTGACATGTCCACATAAACCAGATTCTTAATCTTTTCATTTTTCTCTTTCTTTCTCTAAACCCTAACCCTTTTTCAATCACTCCATATTCACCCCTACTCTCTTCATGTTATGAGATTTTGTTCCAATTGAATTTGAAGAACAATTTTTGAACCTTAACTATGAAAGCTTATTCAAGTCCGCATTTGTCAATATTTATCCTAACAAAGCAAAAAACGATAAATTTGAAGAACAATTTTTGAACCCTAACTATGAAATCGGAGAAATTACAAGCCCTAAAGCTTCAAGCTTTTTCGAAATTAATACTGTAGTTGAATGTTTTGACAAGTAAATTCAAGTTTTAAGCTGATTTGGGAGAGAATGAAAGAATATACAATTGAAAATTGAGAAAAAGAGGGAGAAAAAGAGAGTTTGATTTTGGGAGAGAATGAGATTATACCATTGGGGATTAATTATAACTGATTTGGACTCACGCGTGTACTTTTCTTCAGCTTTTGACGTTTTATTTTCTCTTCTTACACGCCTAAGGGAGTTGTTCTCACCTTCTTCGACATGTCAGCAAATAAGGGTGAGATAATATGTAAAAAAAAATGTTCAGGGGGTAATAGGACCCCGTGAAGTATGAGTGTGTAGTTGAGAATCCGGCTATAGATTGAGGGGGCTTTTGGCCATTTTCTCTTAAATGTTTATTGATAACTACTTTTATAATTAACCAAACATAAAAAAAAAAAATTGCAATGTTTGTGTTGCAATTAACATTCATGAAAAATGTTTTCATAACAAATATTTTGTTTTTGGAAAATAATTGAATTTTACTTATTTTTGGTAATTAAGTAAAAAAATGTTATCTCAATTTTCAAGAGCATTCATATGTAATCTAGCAAAAGTAATAAAAACGGGAGGGCGTGGCGTGGCTGGGGTGGAATGATAAAGAAATAGGAGTTGGGGGCGTTATTTATTTGAAAAGATATAATAAACATAGAACATCACTTATAAAACATCGTTTCCCTACTTTTTATTAAGAAAGTCAGGTTATTCATGTGAGATTCTCATTAGAGGGAAGAAGAGTAGAAGACTAACATGACAATTTGAAGGAAAAAATAAACATAAAATAAAAAATGTAGACAGATTTAGGCTTTACCAAGTGCCATAGAGTTTTGTTTATTATAATTTTCTTTGAAAAAATTTGGCATTAAAAAAACTCTAGATGGATGAAATTTCTCCTACCTTTAACTTGAGATTTGAAGTTTATGCTTAAGCATAAATAAGTAAATAAATAAATAATATATTTCATATCTTTCGTCAAACTTGATAACTTTATCACATAACATCAAAATTCAATAATAAAAATATTTATTTTATTTAATTGGACGCTATTAATTTATGATATATTCATTTTATAGTAAATGATAGAATGAATAGAAAACATAGATCCATTTATTCATGTCTCACTTTCCTTTTTCAAGCACAAATACGTATCTTTGCCACATTTTTTCAATCATTGATCATCACATCGATCACCTCTTACACCTCCATAGTTTTTTATTATAAATAAAACTCAAAAAAACAAATAGAAATATAGATTAAAAAACATCAAACAAAAACTAACTCAAAAAGATAATCAACTAAATAAGAATTTCTAATGAATGTCGCAATATGTTTTGAAAATCAAATCAATTATAATATAATAAAAGAACTTAAAATATGATGGGTTCCTCTTGATTAACCTGTATTTTATGTGCTTACGTTAAGAAATAACGATGTTTTTTTAAATTTATTGTTAGTGGAATTAATTCTTTTTTTTATATACAAGAAACTTGAATATGCTATTCTTTCTAGGTTATAAATTAATACGCACTGATGATTCATCATCACTAACTATTTAAATTCTTTTATGTCATTATTTAGCACGTGCTTCGATTCATTTTACTTGTCATATTTTATTGTGTATACTCCTTTAAATAAAAAAAGGTAAAGACGCAAACAAACAATTAATTGCATTAAATACGTTACTATGTATTTTCACTCAATAACTATAACGACTTATAAATTACTAGATTTTTCATATTACTCAAATAATTCGAAAGGCAATTTTATAAATTTTCGGATAATGTGTTACTTTATTAACATGTAATAGGTGAAGACAAATAAACACTAAACAAAATTATCATTTTTTTATTTGCATTAAATACGTTACTATGTATTTCACATAACATTAACATTAACGACTTAATAGAAATACAAGATCAAGATAATGTATATATTATTCAAATAATTCTAAATGCAACTGTATAAACTGCTGAATATTTTGTATTAATTTAACTGTTTAACATGTAATCGATCAAAATAAATTAACAACAAACAAAATATATAATAGAAAATATTATATTTGCATTATATGGTACTATGTATTTTCACTTCTCAATAATGATAACGGCATATGAAATATGAGATACTACATATTACTCAAATAAATTTTAAAGGTAAACTTTATAAATTATGCATTGATTGAACACGTTACTATGCATTTTCACTTATAAAGAAAAAAAATAATGACTTATGAAATTAATACTTTAAAAGGCTCTTATTGCATCAAATTTATTTGTTGTTGATGAAAAAAATAACGATAAATTTGTGTCTTCCTCATAATTGGACTAAAAATAAATATTCTAGTCTAGAGTAACGTAAGAGAGATATAAAGTTACAAAATTGAAATAAGATAATGTTATCACAATTTATTTGGCAAGTACCACAAATAGGTATTTAAATTGTTACTATAGTAATAAAAGTTACTCTAATTTACGTCAACAAAATAATCATGTGAAATATAATTCTCATTGAAAAGTTATGAAATATATTAGCCATATATGAAAATTACCGAAAAAAGAAGACTAACATGCATGACAATGTGAAGAAAAATACACGATATAAGAAAATAAACATAAAAACGAAATCATAGAAAGATTAAGGTTCATTTTTATTCATTTGAATGCTATGGACTTGTCAGATTTTCATATTATAGAAAAGGACAGAATAAATTAAATTAAAAAAACGTAGACCCGTTTAATCACGTCTCACTTTTCTTTCTCAATCACAAACATAATTTTTGCTATTTTTTTCGATTGTCGTACCGGTCACCTCTACAATCCCCCTCCCCACTCCCCCTCTCACAGTTTAATGGTTTTTCAATATCCATACCTCGTGGATGT